ATATTGCTTAAAACAAATGGAAAAGATATCTAGAATATAACTGTGTCACGCAGACATATGCAATCATCCATACTTAGCAGGGTAAATTTAAAAGTTCAACTCCAGACGGAGATGAAGGGAGAGAGAAATAAAGGAAGGAATGGAGAGGTGGTAGGACGGCAGCAACAGGGGACACTGTCTCTTTCTCTTCTCATTCAGTGATTTTATATGATAGAGGGAATTAGAATAATTATCACGAGTACCCCACAGTCAATTTCCAATTATCTTTTGAACAGAAGGAAATTTATTCTGTAGATAATCAATCCAATGATGGATAATTCAAATTTCATTTGTTCTGGAAATACAATTTAGTTGTTCAGGTAATAGTAGTGTTTTTAAAATAATCTTAATATCATCATGTGCTTAATGGTGGACAATCTAGGAAAACATAATACATTAAAATAAAAAATCGCCCAAACATATCTCAAGATAGACTTGTAAGATCTCTGTAGAGTCTGTCCCAAATCCTGCTCCTCCCTCCCAAGGAATAACATCACCCTTCAAAGTGATGCATGTCTCAGCAAAGGTGCTCTGTTTTTGTTGTTTTGCCTTTATAGATACCTTAGTCACTTCAAACTGTCTACACCAGTTTCTGGGCAGATGGTTAAATGAAGATTTTTTTATTTAAGAGACTTCCTGCCTAAATTTTTGTGGATTAGAATCCATCAAAGTCTTAAGTAATACATATAACAATGCTAAAGGAAACTGGAAGTAGATGTCAAACTCTGTATCTTAGGGTTCCTCCATAGTTTAATCCCAATGCACTACTTAGCATAACTGATTATTATATATTCTTTACATACCATCTCAACACCAGTCAAATGGTTCACTAACCAAAGGCTAATTAACCCTTTTCAATCCCAAAGCACTTAAATGGAATACTGGGATCTTCCAATTCTTCATGCCTCCTCTTATTTCCCCACTGTAAATATCAGGTTTTCCTAGATCATAGATGTCCCTGTTTATTCTTCCTTGCCTATGATAGATGCAGGTACAGGTCTGCAGTGGCTAGTGGCCAAAAAAGAGGAAGGAAAGAAACGAAGAAACTGCAGCAATACCTGACAAAATTTCTCAAAGACCCTGGCATTGTAACACCTTAAAAGTTCATAAACCAATATAAATACATATATTTGAATACATATATTTATAAAGATTCTATGTGAAGCAAGTGGGGGAAACAGAAGATAAATTAGACAAGGTTTCCTGCTCTGGAGGGACTTCTTGAACTTAATAATCACCATTTTTAACATCTATAGAAAAGTAGGTTCTTATTTCCTAACCAATAACTTACAGATTTCTTAAAGATCATCCCACTAACAAACATACTTTTGTTAATTTATAAGTGTTAATACTGCATTTCTAACTCTTATCTAGCTAATGGTTTATTCTGTTATCTCTTATGTCTCTTTACAAATGTATTAGTTTTCCAACTCATGTTTGGATAGCTTATTTTTCCTATAAAAAAATTCCCCTGTCCTTAATGCTACTGAGTATTACTCTTTTCTCTAAATTGTCAAAGTTGCTTGGAAACTTAATTGTCCACACAATTTGGGATTGCCTGAATGTATAATGAAGGTACTGAATACCAGTACTCTCAATTTTTCCTTTGAGGAAAAATACCAGGGAAAAATAATTTCGAGAATAATTGCTAATGTAAGCAAAAAGTCACTTAATGCAAGTTTTTGCTTAGAAAACAAGAAAGGTTCAAAGGTTCAACTCACAATCTTTTAAATTTAAGGCCAAGAAAAACTTTTAAAAATAAAAATAAATATTACAGCTATTTTTTTAAAATTTAACTACACATTATAATCAACTATAAAAAGGAAGGATGGTGGGGGGAAAAAAGAAAATGGAAGGGAAGACAACACAAAAACTCAAAGACCTTTGGCCTTTGGCCTTTCAAAGCGAGCCTCTGCTAAGAGACTCTTCCCCTATACCATAAATCCACAAGCAAGAAAAAAGAAGTCACTACTGCCACTATTCACAAATTTTAATTAAAAATATGATATAAAATGTTCTAAGTATGAAAAGAAAGTCAAACACAAGTTTCGTCTGCAGTTAAGACTTCATGCGTGCTGTGTTTCTGTATATATATAAATAGGTAGGAAATTCCTGTTAATTTTCTCACCTTTTATATAATGAGTTTCTTTCTCTCTCTTTTTTGGTCCAAGATGACAGAAAGATAGAAATGAATTCTCTAAACAGATAAGCAGTGATTGATTTCTAGATTTAGGAAGCTTACTGAGTCAGTAACTGCTAATATATGCATTCAATAAACTTTCTATTTCACTCAAAGAATCTTTCTGCAGATCATTATGTACCTTGTGGAACCTTCCATCTCTGGCAGGTATAAGGTCAAACTCAGCCTTTAAATTATCTGGTAATCAGACTCAAGTAATTCATTCAGATTCCCAAAGGTCCTATTTATAGTAGTCTACACATCAAAATCTTTATTCAGTTTTAAAAGCTATAATGTCACTGCTGAAATGGCTACCAAATTTTTTTTTAAGTAAATAAATAGGTCATCTCAATGCTAAGAATAAAAAGCATTCATACTAATCAAAGCATTCGTGGGAAAAGCAACAGAATTTCTTGGCTAAATTCTGAGTGACATCTGATTCCACTTAATCTGTAGAGACTGCACCTAGTAGCAGTGAGCAATTCCCTTGTTTCCAACATAGCTGCTATCTGTAACAGTCACCATGCCGTGGGAAGCTTCTGAAGAGAAATCAAAATAGTTCAGCTCTGATATTAAGAATAAACCCCCTTGTGCCTAGGGGTTAAGTCTCAGCACTATCACCCCTATGACCTGAGTTCAATCCCTGGCCAGGGAGGTGACCCACATATGGCTCAGCAGACCTCTCCTGTCTCACCCACTACTCCCCTCAGCAGTGTATTTCAGTAAAATCTGCCTGTTCTGCTCCCCACTGTCTCTGGTGAATCCTCTCACCTCCCACACCTTTGGCCTGCAACCCAGTCCTTCTACACAAAAATAAATAAATAAGAATAAAAATCAAAGTGGGTTATTATCAATGTTGAAGAGTAAATTCTTCTTGTAAGAATTAAAAAAAAAAAAAGCAGAGCTTACTTTAGGGAAGGCTAGACCTGATTATGGTGGGCTTAACTTGTTTTTAAACCATGTGTGTATACAGCACACTGAAAGGCAGTAATTTGTAATGCATTTCTGGATTCAGAATGCCAAATATATATATTGTTTTTCCAGGGAGTCATGTAGTATGAGTCTCCAGTTGAAATGTCAGGAATACCTCTCCCTTCTCTTACTCTCTTACCAATCTGACAGGCAATAGGGACTCTACCTCTTTCCTGGTCTCTCTGATTATATCTAACACCCCCATTTTATTCTGCTGCTGTTAAATGATGTTCTTTCTTGACAATTCCCAGGCCTGCTCCCCCCTCGTTCTAAAATGGCTTCTCTTTTCTTTATCTCTAGCTTAGATTACTGGCAATCCGAGACCTTTCTGGATTGCTAAGTGTTGGCAAAATCTTTACATGCCTCTCTGGTCTTCCAGGTTCAGCCCTGACTCTGCACAGTCGCAGATTTTGGGAAGACTTCAAAGGTAGAAGAAAGAGGATTTAGACTGTAGGCTAGAGAAAAAGGAGAGAGGTGCTGGGAGTAAGGGAGCAGCACTGCCGTCTTAAAGTCCCCCTTGGCAACCTGCTTATCCCGGTTCCCCCGATGGACCTAAGACCTTCATCTGGTATAAATTCCCAGGGACAAGGATTGACCTGCTCTTGCACTGGCACCAGCTGCTACTGCCTTGGACCAAAATTTCTGTTCTCCTCAACTAACTGAAAAATGAACACAGACTTCCCCCTTTTTTCTGTCCCTAGAAAAACGTCAGTTGTTTTGAGTTTTTCACAGATAACAATTGGGGAAATAGAAGATAAACATTACTAATAAAGGGCTAGTTTTAAGAGGAGTCACAAAAATTGTTCTCCAGGTATTCAAGGAAATGTAAAATAAATGGGACTCTAGACTTGTTCAAGAGATTTCCTAATTGCTTTATTACCAGGACACTCTCATTATTTAATCCAAATTTTTCCACACTTAGTCTTCTACTGCAATATCCTTTTGAGTTCCCCATTTTCCAGGGAGCCTCAGATCTGGAAGTTATATAGTCAGAACTCTGAGGGTGCCTTCCATTCCCTTGTTTCATCACAGAAAATGGGAAACAGTGTGCTTTTTCATTGCTGCTGTTTCCTAATTGCCACTACTAAGTATGTGAAATGATTTGTGGAGGCATATAATCTCTTGAAGCCTCATTTTCTTCTCTTTAGAAAGAGCATGGTGCCCTTTCTTAGAGAATAATGAGGAGGATGAGTAAGAGACTTGATTATAATACCTGGCATAAAGCAGGCATCAACAAACAGTGGCAACCACTACTGTCTCCCAGGACTCCTCCTGCTACCACCACATACCCAGCCCCCAACCAGATCCCATGCAAGGTGAGGAGTGACGCTTCTCTGAGGACACCTCTTTCTGCTCACCTACTCGCACATTAAGAGAAAGAGTAGGGGAGAAAGAAACATAGTAAGTTAGGTTGCGTATGTTTCTACGGTAGAATCAGGATGTTAGGAAAGTCTTAGAAATAGGAAATGAGAACATTTTTTATTAAAAAGGAAAACAAAAGTCAGCATAATGCACATAATAAAAATAATACATAGCTTACCTAAATATTTAAGACAGTAGTTCTTGTTTTGAAGCTAAAAGAAAGTTACTTATTCTAAGTCTCAAGATAATATAAGAAATAAAATATGTTTAACAAAAAATGTCCTTCCAGTCATTTTTATATTCCTGACTGTAAATCTTATTTAAAATAGAACATTTAGTTAATCTTTAGTTCAAACTGGCAAATCATGTGTACTGCAGTGTTCCATATAATGGGCCGTTTTACTTATTCTATTTGAAAACACAGGAATAAATCCAAGCAGCTTCATACCTTATGCACATAGCTCCTTAACATTCACACTCAGGTCTCATGTCTCCAGGCAAGATTCTTTTGTGCATTATTATCTTTCCAGCTAGTGCAGGTCTATTTTCCCCTCTCCTTCAGCTTCTCTGAGTACCAGAGGTAATAATGGTAAATGAAGTTATTGCACAATTTCCCTTTTCTCTTGGAATCAAGCTTCTTCCAATTAGTTGTTTGCAAAGTTTCTCATTGCCAGTTCTCACATGTTTCTATCGCCTAACAATAGGCATGTTGTGTCCTAACTTGGAAAATTAACATGAACATCCACGTTGACCTCGCAGTTGTCAACTGCAGTCATTTTCCGGGCAACCAACATAAGGCCATGAACAAAGATGCCTTTGTTGTGGAAAAAAATGACATTTCTGAAGTTTACGGTTATGCTGAAGCTGTTTTGTACAACCCACTGCTCCTGGCTCAAATGCCAGCAAATAGCAGCAAACATTCTGTGAGAAGTATAAAGGACATGGAAAAGGATAGTTAATCTATTCAATGAGATAACAGAACTTGATTGTTTCTTCCTTTGTGTTCTAAATTTTAATTTAGGGGTTTAAGATTTTACCCCAAATTTGACAAGAAGGGAATTCCTTTCAAACCCTTGTTTTTCCCATATGAATTATTATGAAAATAAATCAAGTGGCATCTCTTTGACATTTGTTAATTAGACTCTAATAAAAATCACCTTGAAAGTGAATTTGCAAAAAGTGACATTCCAAGGCAAGCAAATTTGGTTCTAGATAAAACAAAGAATACTTAGATATTGTAAGTTACTAGGTAAATTAATACTAATGGCATTAAGAGTAAAAAGTGGGATTACATCAAACCAAAAATCTTCTGCACAGCAAAACCTTTAACAAAATAAAAAAGCAATCTACAGTATGGTAGAAAATATTTGCAAATTATGTTTGATAAAAGGTCAATGTCCAAAATATATAAAGAACTCAATTTAAAAATAGGCAAAAGATGGGGCCTCCCCAGTGGCGCAGCGGTTGAGCGCTGTGTTGCGAAGCTGCCCGCAGCCTCTGCAGTGCCGGTTCGATCCCCAGCCGCTGGGCGAGAGTCCCACATGGTGCGCAGAACTCTCATGCCGCCCGCTGCTCCCCTCAGCAGTGTACTTCATTAGTCTGCCTGCTCTGCTCTCCCCTCTGGCTCTGGTGAATTCTCTCACCCTCCCATGCTTCTGACTGTACCCAGTGCTTGTATAAATAAATAAATAAATCTTAAAAAAAAAAAAAAATAGGCAAAAGAGCTGAAAGATTTTTTTTTTCAAAGAAGACATACATATCTGAAAAAAACAAAAACACTAACTTTAAAAGATATGTGCAACCTTCACACATTCACTGTGGCATCACTACAATTGCCAAGACATGGACACATACACACAGTAAGCTATTATTCAGCTGTTAAAAAATAAATCTTGCTATTTGTAACAACATGGCCATACCTTGAGGACATTAGACTCAGTGAAATAAGTCAAGACAGGGAAAGACAAATACTGCATTAGCTCACTTATATTGAAATGTAAAAAAGCAACAACATCAAGCTTAAAGATACAGAAAACAGTGGTCACTTTGGGGATGGGGTGGTATAACGGAGGATAGGCAAATGGGTGATGGGGCTCAAAATATACAAACTTTCAATTATAAAATAAGTCATGGGGAAGTATGTAAGCATGGTGACTATAGTTAATAATACTATATTGCATATTTAATAGTTGTTTATAGAGATCTTAAAACTTCTCATCACAAGAAAAAAATTATAACATGTATGGTAACAGCCACCAACTAGACTTACTGTGGTGATCATTTTGTGACAGGACTCTCCATGGAAAGGGGAGGTTCCATGTTTCCTGCCCCACTTAATGAAGGTTGGAGCTGAGCAGCAAGGGAAGCTAAAAAAGTTTCGGGGGAGACACAGGCAGAGACAGGAGGAGCAGACATGTGAAGGAGGAGGTGCTTGCATCTCAGTTTTGGACTTGCACCAGTGACTTCCGGACATAGGAGAAATACATGGGTGTGAGACACATGGGGAGGCTGACAATGACAGCCTTTATCTTGATTTGTACTTTAAGTTTGCTACTTTCATCCTAGACTTGGCTGGCCCCTTCTTTCCCTTTCCTATAGTTCCCTGCCAGAAGGTACCTTAGACCTTTGGCCTCAAAAGGGGCCCCACTTGGAGCCAATCTTGTTTGACTGAGCATTTACCCGTGGGGGGATAGGTAACTTTGGGTGTTTTATTGGGAAACTACATCCATTCCCTTCTTCCCTCTCTATGCACATCCATTCATTAAAGTTCTTACGCACTCAGAGACTGGCAGAACCATGCCCTTTAGAACACAGGTTGGGGGATCTTGGTGCCCCTCATTTTGCCCATTAACAATTTCAATCTATACAAATATTGAAACATTATGTCTATACCTGAAACTAACAGACTATGTCAGTTCTACCTCCATTACAAGAAAATCAAATGATTGTTACTTGATAATTCTTCTTCTAAAAAGGTAAACATTAAATTCCCTTTTCAGAAAAGGAATGGTAGATTGAAATCTTAATCAACTGATTTCCAAGAAAATGAAAAGTCATACTTCAATAAATCACCTGTAGCTTATTTAGCTGTTCCAGAAAACTCTCTCCTTTGCAATAAATTTAATTAAGCCAATGGTGATAAATAAAGAAAAATGTACATGAAGCCAATGTGAGTCTGGGGAACAATAGAGCCCCGGAGGCTGTTGAGGGTCAGATGGTTTAGATATGTCCCAGGATCCAGGCATGCACAGACATGTCCACAGATGAAAAGAAATGAAACCATACTGGCAAAGCCACGCTCAGTACAGAAATTCTGCCAATCACCTTTTAACAAACCAGTCAGAACTGCATTGACTGAAAACATCATTTGCATGAAGTGGCCCTAGCCCCACCCCTTTTGTCAATATAAGCTCCCTCCCCCAGTCTTCCTTGGCCTTTCCATTCTTTGACTCTGTATACTCTGTATTCCCACCCACCACCCCTCCCACCTCACTTCCCCAACAAGGCCCACCTTCCCCTTCCCTCCCAGCAGTGCTTGAAGCCCTGGATAAAAGTTTGCTGTAATACTCCAGCCACAACTATAACACTTAAGCTGTAACCCAGCTGCTGAAACAACCTAACTCAATAATTAAAATCATTCAACTCCACAAATAAGATACAGATAAATCTGTATCTGACCAGCACCAACAGGCATAGTTAAATAGCAAAACAAACTGAACTATCAGTTATTTTTCAAATCTTTAATCATTGGAAGTTACAAGCTTATTTCTTCTCTCTGTGCTCATCTTTCTCTGTTTCTCCTTTAATATTAGAAATGTGGGGTGGAGTTCAGTAATCTTTCAGATAAACTTTGTCAAAGTTCTGATTCCATTCCTTCTGATATTCTGACAAAAGAAGGAAGGCAGTGACTCTCAAGCATGGGGCGAGCAGTATGGTGATGGTGGTCACCAAGAGGTAGCAGAATCAAAATATGAATATTATCTACATAAGTGTATAATTTCAGTATTAAATGCAAATGATAACTCTCAAAGAGAAGTTGAATAATGCAAAATAATCATCTGAAAATAATATATTAGTTGTAAATTCCAGATTATACCAAAAAAACTAAGAAAAAGGAATAAATGTTTGAAAACAACAATTTTCTCATCTTAAAAAGGAAGGACTGAGAAGATACTCTTTATTGTTGATGTAAATAATTAGCAAATTCAGGCAAAAAAATTTTAGGGCCTCCCAGGTGGCGCAGCGGTTGAGCGCTGGGTTGCGAAGCTGCCCGCGGCCTCTGCGGCGCTGGTTCGATCCCCAGCTGCTCCCTGGCCACCGGAGGAGGGTCCCACATGGCGCGCAGACCTCTCCTGCCGCCCGCTGCTCCCCTCAGCAGTGTACCTCAGTCCTTCTGCCTGCTCTTCTCCCTGCTCTGGCTCTGGTGAATTCTCTCACCCTCCCGCGCTTCTGACTGTACCCAGTGCATGTATAAACAAAACAAATAAATAAATAAAACATGCCTCTAAAAAAAAAAAAAAAAAAAATTTTAATAATCAATAGCAAAACATAAAACAATGTGTCCCTTGCAAATCACATAAGAAAAAAGCTTAACATCTATTTAAACCAAGAAAGAAATTAGAGAAAGCAAAGATATAGCAAGGAGGCATTTTTAAAAGATTACAAGTTACCGGTTATTCAGTAAATAATTCAATTAACCCATTAAACAGTCCCTTGGAAATTATTTTTTTAAGTGTCCACAAAAGACAGATTTAAAATAAACAGATTTAGGGCCTACCTGGTAGTGCAGGGGTTAAAGACACAGGGCTATTAAGCTATCGCCAGCCACTGCTGCATGAGTTCAATCCCTGGCCAGGGAGCTACCCACATGGCATAGTGGACTTCTCCAGTCTCAAGTTCTGCTCCCCGCAGCTGTGTATTTCAGTAGATCTGCCTGTTTTGCTCCCCACTCTCTCTGGTGAATCCTCTCACCACTCCCCACCCCCCCCTCTGGCTTACACCCCAGTTCTTATATGCATAAGTAAATAAATCTTTAAAAAATAAATAAAAATAAAATAAACAGATTTAGACAGTTTAACTGAAAAAGGTGAAGATAAATGAAAGCATACAGGAGTGATATCAAAAGAGAATTCAAGAAATAAAAATAGCACATAAAAAAATCAGTTTTTAAAATTCATAGGTCATAAAATTTTATGTACTAAATAATAATGTTAACATATAAAGTAAATTTTTTAAACATATGAAAGGAAATGTATATAAATTTAGAAGTATAAGGACAATTCTCTAGATATACAATAACAGTTGGCAAAAATATTAACTAGGTAAAGCTCACTTGAGATGTCAAATAATGTAGGCTTTATATATGATGAGTTTGTACTTAAAAGATGGTAAAAAATTTTTCTTTAAAATTCTATTTTATATAGTTACATGAAAAGGACAGGGAGTGAAAGCACTGAAAATAGGCAGCCAATCTTTCTTGATGAAAGAATGAACAACTTTCAGAATTCCACTGCTCAGCATAATCCAATAATTAAACTATTTCTAGGAAATGTTACCTAAGGAAGAGGGCTGCATCCTATCAAAGATAACAAATCTAATATTCATACAGCTTTTCACTCTTTACAAAGTGCTTTCACATTCATGTTACTCTCAAGCTGTAACATATAAGAAGGGTATTTAAATGAAAACAAGAAACTCTGGGAATATGGAAGCATGACTCAAAGAGGGAAATTCCAGTTGTCATAAAAGGGCTAATGGTGTATAAAGTGCCCTATAAATGCCGAAGATGGACTTCATTTCATGTTCAAGATTTCTACATCTTCCAAGAAAACTTTCAAAGCTGAACCAGCAGCAATAGCAGCAATAGACAAACATGAATGTGACAGGCATGACTATAGTCTTGGCTGTGATACTATGTGCTACAACTGTTCAAGGTATGTATTTATATACTTCTCAACTTATCTCTTTTTTTGCTTCAACTGTCTTCCACTTTTATTGTAAAAGATATTAAATTTTTTTATTTTACCTTACACATTAGAAGTTACTACAGCTGTGGCAGACAATGTTGGAAATGTTTAAGACACTAGAGGTGATTATTAAAAGTAGAGATAATAGACCATGGAATTTTTTTATTAGGCTACAAAATCTGGCAAGAGCCTTTAGCAATAGTTTTAATATCTACTAAAGAGATTTAATATGAAATAATATTAGCTTCCTGGAAAAATTCTTCAGCATAAAAGCAAGATGCAAACTTAATCTCCAATAAGCTTTGATGCTTCCCTTTATTCTTAAATAGTTTGTTGCAAATTTAAAGAGAAATTTAAATGTCAGCATCTTGCCTAAGTTCTAAGCAACAGCACTATGAAGTGTTGGTTGACAAATTACTCTCTCTTTCTTTAATGAAATCACATTCTTCATCAGGAAGATAATCACAGCTATCTACTGCAATTAGAGGCTTCCCTACCTGATGCTCTGATCTATTCTAGGCTTTCCCATGTTCAGAGGAGGACGCTGTCTCTGCTTAGGCCCTGGAGTAAGAGCAGTGAAAGTGGCATCTATTAAGGAAGCCACCATACTTTACCCAAGCAACAGCTGTGACAAGACAGAAGTGATGTAAGTAATAGAATCTGAAAATGAAAACAGTGGAGGCTATTTGTTTGCTTATGCTTTTCCATCCAAAATTTAAGACTTGTGGATCTTCCCTTCACAGCATCACCCTGAAATTTGGTAAAGGTAAAAGATGCCTAAATCCAACATCAAAACTAGCAAAAGAGATAATCAAGGTAGGTTACCAGATTATTTCCATTTTTTAAAATCTGTTTCATACAAGATAGATTTTTTGGAAAAAAAAAAAACCTGACAAATGCAGATTCTGTGTGAAGTGTTTTAATAAGGGGCCTTGGTTATAATTATCTTCTCTTTCTGCTTATATGTTTTTATACATTAACTCTATCACTGGGAAACAGGAACAGTCTAAATTTATAAAACTCTCATTTTCTCATTACAGAGAGCTCAAAAGAATCAAACTTTTAAAATATCAAAACGCAAGTCATCCTAGAAATGAGGATTTGAAAAGCTAGAACAAATTTAACTATGAAGAGCAAAATGCTAGGAATTCAGCTATAGGAATCTGACTTTCTCCTGCCTGGTGCAATGTACATTCATGCATTCCTACCTTGTGAACCTTCCAGAGATTTGATGCTTATAACTATTCTGTTGTGCTGATGAGAAGAACTTTTCTGTCTCTAGAAGCTACCTTCTATACTTCATCTACATTCCAGATTATAATCTACAGTTATGATGAAAATTTATTACTGGTGTTAAGACCTTAAGAGTGAAAAGCATCCATTTGTGTCATGAAATATTCCCCAAAGAATTTTTCATGCAAAAAACACATTTCTTTTCTCAAAAATCATTATATATATGTTATCTAGGAAAGGCGTTTTATGTCATCTGTAATTCATGAAATGCACTAAGAAAAATTATAAGCTAAGAGAAACAGGTGAAAATGTATTTTGTAACTGAATGAGTAATTCTGCTATAAATTTAATTTTTTTTAAGCAACTTGGTCTGTTTTTCTATTGAGATGCTTTGAAGCAGTAAGAATATGTGTTTAACATCTCTTTTGGTTTTACGCACCCCTATAAACTATAACCGTATGTTAGAAACACTTTAAGTCAAAATGTGTTTTGTTAACCAAAGCAAAATGTTGAAAAATAAATATACGTGCGTTTCTGGTGATCATCTTTACTTTCTGTAATTCTTTTTCATAGAAAATAACCATCTAGTCCATTTTTTAGTCATGCCTACGGTATCAAATTTAGGAATATCTAAACTACCATAACCTGTTTTAAAACAGAAACATGCATATGTTTTCCAGAAATCTGAGATGTCTTTAATAAACTCACCTTGTATTTCAAGAAGCTTATGGCTACCTATCCTCATACAGAATTATTTAGAAACAGATTTTAATGGCTAGTTGTGAAGGACAGCTGTCTCTCTCTCTCTCTCTCTTTTTTTTTTTTAAACCAGGGTTTTCCTAGCTCGGAACCTCCCTCCTACTTACGGGAAATCCTTTATGTTAGTTTTTGTGAGAGGCCAAAAAGAAGCAGCCGAAGTAGATCCTCCCTAGCAGCCAGAAACAAGGTCTATGCCAAGCCACTCCTTACCTAGACTTTGAACTCTAGCTAGCACCACGAAGATACCATTAGAAAGAAAATGATTTAAAGAGGCAGTAGCAGCAGCAATGAAAGTCGCAGGGAGTGACTCCCCAATATGTCCCTGTAGCATGATTGTGGCTAGTCCTTCCTGTCACCTAGTTTTTGTTCATTCCCCAAGCCTAATTCTTCAGTCTTCCTGTGGCTTCTTCAACAATCAATTAAATTTCCTTTCTGCTGAAGTTAGCCAGTTAGTTTCTCAGCATATAAGCAAAAACCTAAGGTGCCACAACACTCTTTATGTAGCCACCTATACAATGAAAAAAGAAAATAATAAAGAATTGCCAAAGAAATAATCAGGTATTTCTGTTTCTTTGCAAACAAAGGAACAATTTTAACATATCTTTTGTGTATCCTTCCCATTGATTTAAGAAAAACAAACAACAATTTAAAATTTTAAATTTCAAAACAATTTTTCAAGCAAACAGGTGTACATAAATGTTCATACAGTAATTTTCACAAAGCCCAAGGCAGAAATGCCCAACTATCCAACAAAAGATGAATAAAGAAAATGTGGTGTATATACATAATGGAATACTATTCAGTCACAAAAAAAAAAACAACACGAAAGAAACACTGATACATGCTGTAGAGTGAATGAACTCTGAAAATCTTAGGGGGAAAGGATGTTCTGCGCTAATCCTATGCAGGTTTTGTGGACTCCACCCCCACTCCAGACCAAAGCCATCAGGACATTGGGAAAGACAAATCCCATCACCACCAAAGGGAAGGTGGCTGGGACCTGAGGGTGGAGTTAAGCAGCCAGGGTTGGTATAAAAACCAGACACGTGGGCCTTGGGCTCTCTGGCTCTGTTGCTCGCCTCCTGGCTTCACGGCTCCTGGCTGGCGGCCAGCTCTCAGAGTGCTATTTTGGGATTCCTGATTGGCGGATTGGGTAGGACTCATTTAAAACTTTGTCTCCCACTTTTCTCCCTGAGCTGTACATTTCCTCATTTCCCCCTCCCTTGTAAATAAACCTTTTATTAACCTTTCACGTGTGCCTGCAGTAGAGCATTGATAAGTTCTTTTAAGCGCGGGTGAGGACCCACAGTCAGGCACCCCGTTTTGTATCGGTGCTGCCCTATAACAAAAACACTATACTAAGTAAAAGAAGCCAGGCACAAAAGGCAACAATACATGATCATTTAGATGAAAGGTCGACAGTAAGCATATTCATAGAAAAAGAAAGCAAGTTAGTGGTTGTCCTGGCCTGGGGGAAGGAGAGAATGAGGTGTGACTGTTTAATGGGAACTGAGTTTCTGTTTGGGATGATGATAAAGCTCTGGAACTATTTAATGGGGACGATAATTCAACTTCGTAAATGTACTTCACATCCCTGAATTCTATGCTTTCAATGGTTAATTTGGTAACTTTTATGTCATGTGTATTTTACCACAATATAAAAATGTCTAAACTGAGGTGGTAACTGTGAAAATAGAAATATGAGATTACGTGCAAAAAGAGAATATAGCTTAGTGATAAATTGGATGTGACGGATGAAATTGAGGTTTCAAGGAAAATGTTAAGGATTTGGATTTGAAGTAGAGATAGAGAAAGGAATAAAGAAAAGGTAATGTTTTGAGGTTTTAACAGCTACCACTAATAGAAATAGGGAGATTGGGAGAAGATGTGGTTTAACAGAGTAGACTGTGGTGAATTTTAAACATATGGAACCTCAGGTGCTAAATATGTAGAAATTCAGAATTATTTCCTTTAAATATCCAAGAGGAGCTTTTAAATGGATGGGGTAATTTTAGATACTACTGTTCAAGAAGTAAGATTTTTTGTTCGTTTTGTTTTGTTTAGTCTGGGCTATTCAGAATGGTACTTAATATACGCATGTAGAACATCCCTCTATGATCTGTTTCTTAAAGATTTCCAGAACCAACAAATATAAATCTTTATGATATAATCAACACATTATAAATAGTATACTCTCATACACACAACCGTTTGGGCTATTTTGGGGAAGGGGGAGAGTGTTCTGTGGCTGCAAGGAAATGTGAACAACTATTCCTTGACTCATATCCAATGTTTACTTGCCAGCCATTTATAATGAAATCAAATAAACCTGAAATCATTATGTACATTGTAAGGATATTTTCACTGAAATACCAAAGACGGTACTACATTTCCCGGAAATCCTAGCCCCATAAATGCAGAGGTAGCTGTTTCCGGCTGCTCAATGAACTACTATATGTTGTAAATGCCCTAAGGCGAATTACAGACATTGCACAATTTCCTATAAATCATGACTTTGTTAAGAGCTTGAGAAAAACTAAATGGTGAGCTAAAATATGGAATAACATGCACTATTGAACTACATCATATTGAACTATGTAACATTCCTCCTCCTAAAACAGACAGTAAGTCCATTAAATTTAAAATTTAGTGTTATAAAACAAAGGCAAATCAAAATTTTACTAGAAGATAAAATTAGACTTTTTCTAAAGCTTTTGATGAAAAACAGAAGAAAATATAATTAAATTCATGTTTATTGTATTTAAATCTCTGAATAATGGGAAGGAGAAATGCACCATTCTTTCCAAAACCCACTTGCAACACTGTTATAATGCTCTCAAATGTTATCTCTTCCCCTGAATGAGTAAGTGTGCTGTATCTGTAAAAGTCTTTCCAAAATGTATGAGTTTATTACTCTCCCCTCACTACCCTACTGTAACACATCGTTCTTCTACTCTGCTTACAATGTCTACTTCTTGGACATTCAAAAATTCCTTTCAGCAATCATGTGATCCCTTTGACAGTCTCTGAGCTTCCATGGCTGGTTATCAGCCAATGGTTACCTTCCAATGCTTGTTCCTTTCAGGACTGAGATCATGTCGTAATTGTGTTCCTGTAGTATCCATGGGCCAGCAGTACATTGGCAGGTACTCAACAGTGCTTGCTTTGGCAGCTCATATGCTAAAATTGGCAGGTACTCAATATTTGACAGTAAACTAAGACGCTAGATGCTTAGAGCATCAGAAACCAAAGGGTTTGTCCATGAAATAGTCTTCAAGTTGTATGGCAAATGACCTTCATGTTTATATATTTGGCATGTGTTACACTGATTAATGTTCTTGGACACTAATAGTTACACTGAATACTTGTGATTTTCTAATATATATCACTCTTGTGAATCATTTATATATTTCACTAGTTCATTTTGTCACCTCTGGGTTTTTCTTTTACTTGGAATTAAGGCTCTAATAAATGAAATCACTGAGTAGCATACAAATTTTTTGTGGGGTTAGAGAGCAAAGGGAAAAAGGAAACTAACGCCCACCTCCTAAAGTTATAGTTCCTCTATTCTTATCTAGTCCACTTAATTAACTATTATCTTTCTACTTCCTTCTGCTCTGTCAATCTCTGGATTAACCCACGCCTCAATAGTTGGGTCAGTCAAAATATTGCTACATATCAACAGACTGTCTTAGAAACTTCCCAATATTTAAGATACAATAATTTAAAATATAAGGATGTGTTCCTTCCCTACCCCACTCCCTTGCCTCCTCCAACCCCAAGATAATCACTACCCTGAATTCTGTGTTTATTATTCCCTTGCCTTTTTGTGTGTGTGTGGGGGGGGGAATATACATAACACTTTATTTTTCTTTTATTGCAGTAACATTTGTTTAGAATAGGTTCACGCCTCTTCAGATATACATCACACCACCATACCCACTACCAAATTACACAGTCCTTTACCCTAGACCACACTGTCGTGCTCTCACCCTAGTAACCTCACTTCTACAGTCATATTGTTGTAGAGCAACCCCGATACAAAACGGGGTGCCTGACTGTGGGTCCTCATCCGCGCGATTAAAAGGACTTATCAATGCTCTACTGCAGGCACACGTGAAAGGTTAATAAAAGGTTTATTTACAAGGGAAGGGGAAATGAGGAAATGTACAGCTCTGGGAGAAAAGTGGGAGACAAACTTTTAAATGAGTCCTACCCAATCTGCCGATCAGGAATCCCAAAATGGCGCTCTCAGAGTTCGTCGCC